GTTAACCTCCTTCCTCCTTTGCTCTTCTAAGTGTTTTCTGCAAACCATTTCTGCCTGAGCTGTGGCAGGTCAGGGTAGGTTGGGGGCACATCCCACATTAGATATTCAGCACAGTTTAGAGTTGCTCCATTCATCGCCTGCACCCAGCTAGATGAACCCCGAGGGCACTGTGTCTCTCCGAATGAACAGTGTGTCTCACATGGTGCCTGGTTCCTTCAGCGTGCCTGGAAAAAGGGAGCCGTGAATGTTGAAGGAGGTGAGGTAGCAGCATCCCGACTTTACGCTTCAGGAACAGAGGCTCAGACAGACTGATGTGACCGAGGGCACACAGTTGTAAGTTCTGGTCAGTGGGCATCCAAGTCTTCCTGCCTCCAGATTCCACGCTAAATACAACAGCACTGATTCTTTGTAGTGAGTGTATTATATTCCTAATACAGTTACTATAATTTGTTTAGACTGACTGGCATCAGTAAACAAATCTTGACAACTTTTCACTATTCCAAGGAGCTGCAATAAAGTCTTTTGACTTCTGTTTGCCCACTTCCACAAGCATTTCCACAGCCCGCAGCCCTAGACTGAGATCGTTGGGTCCGCACAGTTTAAGTCTGGACACTACTAGGTTACCTTCTAAACACACGGTCCCAATTTACCATCTCCTGTCTCCCCAAGCAATGAGTGCCTGCTTTCTGCACTGCGTGTGTTTAACTTTAAAAACTCATCAGAGACTGTATGAGGGGTTTCTAGGACAAGTTCTGAAGGTGACTACAATGCACAGGATTTCACTTAACAGAACTTTTCTCCCAGATAGGTGTCAAAAATGGCTTTGAGTGTGGAGACTTTTTTTTAAGTCTTCAGCAGCTTAGCCCTATGGGAATGAGGCTCAGCTCCCAGTGTCCAGTAAATCCAGTGAACGCCTGCCATCAGGTCTGAGCTGCATTAGGCTATTAATGCAGAGTTAAAGGGGGGTGGGGTGGTGATAAAGGACACCCAGAGGTAGGCTCCTCCGTCACTCACTAGAAAACCAGTTGCCACTTCAGCTCAGAGCAGGAGTTTCTTTTCATGTTGTTGCCTAAAATAGGAGTCATAACCAGCTTGGGAAGCTTCACCCAGCAGAATAGAGAAACAGAATAGGCCAGAAGAGTTGGTGAGATTACTCAGTCCACTCCTGACATTTATTGATAAGGAAATCGAGAGCCAGAGATGGTGAGTGACGAATTGAAAGTCACACAGAAAAGCAGCACAAGCAGTGGCAGAATCCAGCTCACAGTCAGGTAGCCTGACTTCTAGCTCACAGCAGGTCCCATCCGTCACCTCCGCCGATGGTCTTTCTTTAAGTCTACCTTTCTTCATGCTCTGTTGCTCTTGAAAAGGGGAGGGATGGTAGGTTTCTTGAGAAGGGATGTCTGGATAAAACTCACCATAGCCCATCTTCGTGCCTTTGTGCATCCTGTTCTCACTTCCTGGGATTCCCTTCTCTGCCTAACTGGTTATGTTCTGTGAAAATACCTCCTCACTCCCCAGGGCAGCCGGTTGTTCCCTGTGCTTTGGACCCAGGCCCTGACCTTGCCCCAGCACTCAGAACACTGGATGGTGCTCTCTGGCTCCTTCTGTGTCCTCTCCACAAGACTGACAATTCCTTGAACGCACAGATGGATCAAATGCTTCTCCGCAACCCCAGCACACACCCGAAGCTCCTCCGAGGGCATGGACTTTGGACCACAAACACTAGCGGGGAGGGAGTTTAGCCTACCCCATCAGCTCCTGGCTCACAGCATGAACTTGGGAAGTTTGGTGCCCGTGAAGGAATGCGCGCAGGGAAGTTTTGCAGTATGAGGAGCTTCTAATCCTGGAGCTGTGGAGTTTTCGACACACACTGCCTGGCGGTGCCAAGGAGGTTAGGCTGACAAATGAGTGGGCACGAAAAGGCACAGAAAGCCCTCACATGTGTCTAGGCCTCCAGGGCACAGAGCACTCTCCCAGCCGAGCCCATAGGAGTGAACTTTGTAACTGCTCTCCAGCAGGACTTCCGTGAAGCTCAGCTCTTCTCCTTCTGCCAGGAAAACTCCCAAATCTGGTTGATCCAGACCTCGGGACTCGCAGACACGGATATGGCACAGAGGGAAGGAGTCAATCAAGCTAGGAAATATGTGACTGAACATAAACCGAACTTAGTTTGTAGGATTTAGGAGGAAACAAAAAGAGTAAGTACGGTCATGAAATACCCTACATGGCGAGTAGCTCAAGTAAGAACTACACCATTCTCCTCAAGTAGGCTGAGCTCTCCTAGTTCTGGGCTTTCTTAAGGGTTTTAGAAAAGAACACACGAGACATGGAATGTGGGATTTCATTATCTCCAGTTTACTTAATTTGTTTGTTTACACACACGATCTGTGTGTGCATAACAGTGGCAAGAACCATTCTCTAAATACAATCTGCTACTCAGATGATGACAGATGCACATGGAAAATGAGGCGTCAGTGAATGAACCTCAGAACGAGAGGCAAAACAAGCATGGCAGGATTCTGGGATCACAGATGCCCTTAAAAGCCTCTTGTTCAGCACCTGGGGACAACAGACACTTTCCAGAAGATGATACAAGACTATTTCAATGGGAGACCCAGACCCCAAATGGTACTTGAAAGCAGATGCTCATTTCCCTGCCTTCCCTAAGGAGCCAAGAAGTTCTAAAGGCTTGGTGGGGCAAAGGGAGATGGGGGATTATCGTCTGCTGAGCACAGGTGCGGGGTGTTTTACATACATCACTGCCCTTAATCCTAACAGTATCATCTCCTCCATTGTCCAGATGTGGACATGAAGCTTGCCCGAGGTCAGACGACTCTCAGCAGTGGTGCCAACACTGGAACCCACATCTTGGGTTTACCTAAGCCCACACTCTCAGTTACACCAGGCTGTTTCAAATGGGGATACAGAACATGTGCCTGAGAGAAAGGCAAGGGTGCTAAGACTGAACAGGAAGTGGTGGATGACCACTCAATACACAAGGGTCAGTCATGGACACCTTCCACAGAATTAACTTAATGCTGAGCCTGGACCCAATCTGCTAGAAATAACTGGAGATTTAAGTGTGACAAATGAACATATGGAGTCACCTTGTGCCTGTTGCCTTTTGATGCTGAACATGAAACTCAGGAGAGACCCCAACCCTTCACCCAGCCCCTGCCACCTATGCCATCCCCTCTCCCACTCCCTGTTCACAGACGGAAACTCCAGAGGGCAAAAAATTTCTCACAGGGCCCGTGACATCTTGCCAAGGCTCCCAAAGCACCCCGGTGATACCTCTGGAATCCCAGCACCAGTGTTTCTGCCACCTCTGGGTACAATGTAGCACGACTCACATTCTGATGGATACAAATTAACATGCAGCCTGATGGGATACCAACTGCATATTTTAAATACACTTTTATATGAAAGACAATTTACCCTGAAGATTTTCTGGGCCTCAAGCTCTTAACAATCTAAGCTTGAGTTAAGGCAGTAAAGTGTAGTGCTTGTCAGTTAATGCTATTATCAGGCTTAACTTGGTGGGGAGAAAAGGAACATCAAGGAAGCTTCCAGGATGATTATCCAAAGTGCAAAGGGCCAGGTACAAAAGGCCTAAGGATGTAGGGGGAAGGGGGCTGGGGGGGTGTCCTATCACAGAGCTGTAATGGCACCTTTGTGGGTGGAGGTGACAGGCCACAGAAATACAGGGCTGGACATCAGGAAGTGTGCATAGGGGAAAGAAAGATGGGTTTCAAGGCCAGCTGAACAGGCCCAGGTTTGGTCTGGTGTTGGTACAAGAAGGAGGGTGGGGCCAAAGTCACTCCAATATTTAATAGGGACATTTTTGCAAACAGGTTGGCTTCCTGCCATCAGAGGCAATGGAAGACATTTTCCTTCACCTCCGATTTATCATAATCTCATCCAAAATGTAAAAATTCCTTGGGCCAGAGCAGGCAGATCAATGCACTTATCAGCACGCTGTTCAGATTAACCACTGATGTGTGGTCATGAAAGTTTCAGTGCAAGTATGCATTTTGCAGTTACTCTGACTCAGCTTAAAATTTCATCCAGTTGTCATGAAAATGTCTGCTTTCGGATTTTATTCTTAATAGAGAAAACAGCCCCTGAAGTGAGGTGGAATTTAATACCATAAGCCAAAAGTTTGGATTATAAAAAGTAAATTAGTGTTCTAAACAAACAAACAAAAAACCCTCAAAGCTATCTACACACATACCAAAGTGCAGCACTGAAGTTGTGAGTTATTCTCAGGGGTTCTGTCAACAAAGAACAAACGCCATAGTTGTTATTAAAAACAATAAAGCATTTGCTCAAAATTGTAGGAAAAAAAGGCAACCTTATTGCTCCAAAAACCAATACATAATAGACAACATACATGGAAGACTAGCAATGTCCGTTACATAAATATCATCCAACACTCAGCCAGAGAGGCACTCCAGTTTTGGTAGCTAATCACAAGTCAGTTGCAATATATAACATTCTGAGGATAAGCAAATATCACCAGCAGAGAGTGTCTTTCAGGCAGTTGGCTGTTTTATAAAGAACCCTGCTGGAAATAAATGCTTATGCAAAACTGACCAGAGGGCAATATACTGTCAAACCACAGCATTAACAGCCATCATAATACGAGACACGAGGATCAGGGAGAGAATGATGGCAGCAGAGAAGGGTCCTGAGGCCCTGGCCTCCCCTTCAGCCACACAGGAGAGGCTTTCCCGATTCTGTCCTCTCACTGAGCCTTAGTTCTGCCCTCCAGGGACATAAGGGACATTCCAGATTAAGGTCAAGTCTTGCCAGGGACAAAAAGTGCCCGACTGGGAATGGTGGTGCTTGTGACAAGAAGGGTGGGGAGTAAACTCACTCCCCAGACTCTGCCACCACTCCCCAAACCCTCCTGGTATGCTTCCTCTCTGAAGCAGGATCAATAATTTAGTCAAATAACTAAGAAAAATAATGAAAAAATACATTAGCCATTGTCCTGCCATCACCCCTTTTGTTTCTCTTTTATTCCTTGTAACTGTCTTGCTTCAAATTCAAACTAGAGCTCTGGGGAGGAAGTCCTGGGGAAAAGGATTTCAGATACCAAAACCCATAGGTCCCATACCAGCTCAGCAAACCAAACAGGGTGCCGAACACCTTCTGGGACAAGTTGTGGAAGTAAACGGCCGTGCACAGAAACATCCACACCCAGATGAAGGTCAGAAAGCCCAGGGCCACCACCAGGCTGGTGATGGGGGTGTGGAGACGGTGGCTCCGGTCTGTCTTCACCTCATGCAGCACGGCCATCTCCTCCACAATCATGAGGGCGCAGAAGGTCAGCAGGAAGGAGTGGCCCGAGATGTCAAAGCCATGCCAAAAGCCTCCTTCCCCGTGGCACTGCTGCTTGCTCTGGTGCTCCTTTCTGACCCGCTCCAGGGCGGGCGACTGGTAGCAGCTGCCCGTGTAGTGTTCAATGTTGGAGAAAAGAGCTGTGAAGACATACCAGATGGCTGTGCCCACAAGCAGGGTACTCAGCCGCCGTAGGACCAGGCCAGCCTTGCCTGTCAGGTGGTAGGTGGTGAGGGCAATGAAAGGCAGGAGGAGACAGAAGGTCCAGGCCCAGGCCAGTTTCACAAAATACCTGGCAGAAGATGAAAGTGGAAGTGAAGGCAGGGGACATGACGGGGAGGAGACAAGGTCGTGACTCGGGTCTCCAGAGTCTCGAGGGAGGGCAAATAAGAAAAGCTGATAAAAGCTACAGATAAAAAGTTCACTTACTAAATTTCAAATGTAATAACTCCTTAATCCTTAAACAACTCAGTGAGGGAGGTACTGTTATTACCCCCATTTGACAGATAAGAAAACTGAGGTACAGGAGTATCATGCCCAAAGTAGAGGTCATTAGTGGTAGAGCTGGGATTCAAGTCCGGGGCCTGTGATCTTAATCTGTGATCCAGGGCCTGGGGAAGTGGACACATAGAACACTCATGGTTACCCTGGGAAGAACTCTCATTTGCCCCATTTTATAGAGAATGTGAGGCTCAGAAAAGTTCATTAACTTGCCCAGGGTCACAACCACACTACCAGCAAGCCCAGAGTAAATCAAGATTTGGCCAGCCCCAAAGCCCACGTTTTTTCTACACCCTGGCTCTTTCCTACATGGCAGCAATGATCTCAGAACAGAGCTTGAGTTCAAGCAAGAAGACCGGGTTCAAATCCTGACTCTGACTCAACCTGTTACCACACGTCTCTAGGCTCAGTTTCCCCAGCTATAAAACAGAGCTGAGGAGAGCAAATGAGTTTTTAAATCCCTCCCAAGGCCAATGATTCACTCGTTCCCTCCGGTTAGCACAGAGGCTTGGAACAAAATGTCAGAATCCATGGTCATGGTTACCCACAAACAACAGGGACTTGTGTGCCAGGCTGCTTGGATCCCAGCTCACCCAGGCCAGATAAAGCAGCGGCTGCCTGTCTGCCTCCCCTCGCTCATCAAAGGTGGCTGACCTGGGGACCAGCCACGGAAAACACACATACAAGAGACTCGGGGCTACAACCGTACTCATCATCATCTATTCTTAGCCCAGGGGTGGGGAAGGAATGGGGGCCAAGGACAGGACTTCTTCCTGGGTTCCAAAGGCTACTCAGACACCACCCAAGAGCCTGTCACTCACATCTTCCCCGGGACTGATATGCAAGGATCTTGCCAGAGCCAAGACCTGTCAGGCATTTGACAAAACTGCTGGGGAGAGGAACCAGGGTTTTAAGTCGATGGCCAAAGTTGGGCTGACTTTTGGGAGATGCTGCAGGCACTGTAATTCTAAAGAATCTAAACTCACAAGGGAGAAGTTTTATCTTCCAGATAAAACTTGACTACTGCAAGTGTTTTTACGCAAAACCCTTGCAATCCAGGAGCTAAAAACATAAAGGAAAAAGGCGTGAGTGGGTGGAGTTAGGGAGATGTCTCAAAGTGCCCAACTGCGCTTGCTTTCTTGGGCCACCGCCATGAACTCTGAGTGGCTGAGAAGATCCAAGGAGATCCTGGGTAAAGGTCAGAGGCTGGAGGATTCCGCTCCTCAGGGACTATCTTGGAGCGGGGGTTCCATCATAGGCTGGGGCAAGGCTTGCAAAGGTTTCGGGGGTCAGGGGGAGAAGGCACGGATGGTGATGGGATTGTCACAAGCCGGGGTTTGGGGGTGAGGTGCGTCAGGGGTCAGACTCAGCGCGGGGTCTGACACAGGCAGGCAGGAGGGACGTGGCATCTCCCAAGCAGGTGCGGGGCCGACTCTTAACTCCAAGGGGAGGTGGGGGGCGCAGCGACAGAGGCTAATTCAACGCCCTATCCCCCCCCCCCCCCGCCCCCCCCCTCCCCGCGCCCTGCCTGTCACTCCCTGCCCAGTCAACTCAAGCCGGCTCGTCTGGGCGTGCAAACATCAACTGCTAGTGACATAGCCATTCGGGGGTCCCTCGGTCGCGACACGCGTGCAGACGCAGCTGTCACAATGAGGAGGGCCTCCCCGTCCGATGACTCGTCCATCAGGGCAGCTAAGCCCCGGCTCTCAGGACGAGGCGACGGCGGGTCGGCTATGGCGGGGACAGGGGAGGACCCGGGGCGCACTCACACGTTGAGGACGTTGCGCTTGTTGCTGAGGTAGCTCTCGGGCAGCGGGGAGAGCTCCTTGAGGAGGGAGCCCGCCATCATGAAGGCCGCCAGCGCCCAGGGCAGGTAGCGCCGCACCGCCGCTCGCACTAGCGTCCCCCGGAGGAGCCTCGCGCAGCACTCCAGATGCTCCATGCCCGACCTCATCGGCCACCGTCTGCTTCCCCGTGTCCTCTCGGCCACCGTCTTGCCCTTCGCTCGGAAGAAGCCGCTGCGTCCCTTCGGACGCATGCGCGCCGCCCGCGAGCCCCACCCCTCGCGGAGCGCTCGCGCTCCCCCATCCGGCCACTGGAGGCCTCTGCAGCGCGTCCGCTCCCGAAGGCCTGCGCTCTGCTCCCGGTCCGGCCGCCAGGCGACAGGCGCGGACTCTTGCTCTGGGTCTGGGAAAAAGAGGTCCTGGGAGTATTTGCTGGAGATGGGGAAGAATAAATGCAGTAGTGTAGGAATTAGAGCAGTGGTCACAGCATCATTTAGTCTCTCCTAAAAGCTTGGAGACACCTCCTCCATCTGCGCCTTAGTTTTCTCATCTGTAAAATGGGGAGACAAGAGGAGCTCAACCCTTCCCAAGAGTTAGTTTGCGAACCTGAGGTCATTACAGTGATCCAGATATAGGGAAATGAGATTTAATTTTATTAGAAAAGAAGTCCATAAAGTAATTACTCAATTTAAATGTTATTAGATTTTTAAAAAAAAAACTTTTAAAACAGCTATTGTATTGAATGAAAATGCTGGACTCTGGGGGTTAAGATCAGATGAGGGTGTTGGTGACTCAGTCACTCAGTTTATCACAGAGCTAAACCCTCTCACCCCCATCATGGCTGGGTGCCTAATTCAATGTTTCCCAAATTTCAACCTCCACCCCCCCCACCACCACCGCATTGTATCAGTCTCCTAGGACTGCCATAACAAATTACTACAAACTTCTTTTTTATAATATTTATTTATTTATTTATTTATTTATTTATTTATTTATCTTTAAAGATTTTATTTATTTGAGAGAGAGAGAGCATGAGCAGAGGGGAGGGAGAGGGAGAGGGAGAAGCAGGCTCCCTGCTGAGCAGGGAGCCTGATGCAGGGCCCCATCCCAGGACCCTGAGATCACAACCCCAGCCAAAGGCAGACACCCAACCGACTGAGCCACCCAGGCACTCCTAAACTTCTTCCTCTTTTTTTAAGGTTTTATTTATTTATTTGAGAGAGAGAGAGAGAGAGAGATAGCAAGAGAGAGCATGAGCCAGGAGGAGAGGGAGAAACAAGCTCCCCACTGAGCAGGGAGCCGGATGTGGGGCTTGATCATGTCATGAGATGATGACCTGAGCTGAAGGCAGATGCTTAACTGACTGAGCCACCTAGGTGCCCCTACTACAAACTTCTTGGCTTAGAACAACAGAAATTTATTTTTTCACAGATCTGGAAGCCAGAAGTCCCAAGCTGTTGGCAGGATTGGTTCCTTCTAGAGGCTCTGAGAGACATTCCTGTCCATGCCTCTCTCCTAGCTTCTGGTGCCTGCTTGCAATCCTTGGCATTTTTTGGCTTGTAGCTGTATAGCTCCGGTCTCTGCCTCCATCAACAGCATGTGGCCTTCTCCCCTCTGTGTGTCTTTCTCCTTCTATCTCTTAACAGGACAACAATCCTTGGATTTAGGGTCCACCCTAAATCCAGGATAATCTTACCTTGAGATCCTTAGTTATATCAGCAAAGACCCTATTTCCAAATAAGGTCACATTCCCAGGTTCCAGGGGTTAAGATACATCTTTTAGAGGATCACTGTTCAAGCCATTACAGCCACCTTAACTGCTTTTGCTATGTTCATACACCACCAAATACTATTATTTACTTAAAACTTTTCTTCAACAGGAGAGGAAGAAAAGGGGAGTATGTCAGAGGGGGAGACGAACCATGAGAGATGATGGACTCTGAAAAACAAACTGAGGGTTCTAGAGAGGAGGGGGGGAGGGGGATGGGTTATCCTGGTGATGGGTATTGAGGAGGGCACGTTCTGCATGGAGCACTGGGTGTTATGAACAAACAATGAATCATGGAACACTGCACCAAAAACTAATGATGTAATATATGGTGATTAACATAACAATAAAAAATTAAAAAAAAAACTTTTCTTCAAACAGCACACACTTTAAACTTAAATACCTACTGAATAGCATCCCAAGCCAAAAATATCCTTGAAATCATGGATTCTGTGTGCCAGTTATATTTATTCTATTACAAATAAAACATTTATATTTAAATATTCATCATCACCAGCTTAAAATAATCGCATGCCCCTAAATCAAGGATAGCTACCAAACTTTGGGAAACGCTGGCCTGACATATGCCTATAATGGACTGATGTTTAAAATCTCTCATGCAGTGATGCCTGGCTGGCTCAGTCAGTTAAGCATCTGCCTTTGGCTCAGGTCATGGTCCCAGGCTCCTGGGATTGAGTCCTGCATTGGGCTCTCTGCTCAGCGGGGAGCCTCCTCCTCCCCCTGCTTGTGCTCTTTCTCTCTGACAAATAAATTTTAAAAAACTCAAAAAAATTTTTTTAATTATAAATAAAATCTCTCATGCAGAGAATTAATAAACTAATGAGAATAAAAGCATTAATTCCTTAACCACCTTAAGACGATCTTCATATCTGTAAATTTGCATTTACCTAATCAGGATTCTTCCATAGCAAGATGTTTCTGGGCCTTCAAAAAGTTACATTTTGAAAAGAAAATATAATGGTGATCACACCAGTTTGGTTTTTCATGACTGGTAATTAAAACTACACAGCTAGAAAGACGTTATTTGTGAAGGCAGCTTGTAAATAGTATCTGAAACCATCTCTAGCTTCTGAAGGTTGGAAGGTGCTCAATTATTGTTATTTTCCATAGCAAACTGCATACTGGTTAAGAACAGGGAGGTGCACTGGACATTATTAAAGTGTGTCATTAGTGAAAATCCAGATGCTGACCCCCACCCCAAGAAAAGGTGAAAGCCTCCTGGGTGAACAGAAACTCTAGACATCACCCAAAACGAACTTTCAAAAATATACCTCCTGAAACTTTCAGGATTTGTATTTCTTTTTAAGATTTTATTTATTTATATTGACAGAAAGAGTGAGAGCACAAACAGGGGGAGCGGCAGGCAGAGGGAGAAGCAGACTCCCCGCTGAGCAGGGAGCCTGATGTGGGGCTTGATTCCAGGACCCCAGGATCATGACCTGAGCTAAAGGCAGGCACTTAACCAACTGAGCCACCCAGGCGTCCAGGATTTGTATTTCTGTAGAAAGGATTTGGGTTTGTTCCACTTAAGACTATGCAGCTTCATCCCGGGAGAATTTTGAAGACTAGGTTAAAGCCAGACCTGAAAAATTGTAGGTCTCTAGAGAAGTTTTCTCCCTCCCTCCCTCCCTTTCTTCCTCCCTCCCTTCCTTCTCTTTCTTTCTTTCTTTCTTTCTTTCTTTCTTCCTTTCTTTCTTTCTTTCTTTCTTTCTTTCTTTCTTTCTTTCTT